AAATTTTCAAAAAATTTTAAAAAACGTAGAAACCAAACACTACTAGATTGTATTTTCCCAAAATATAGCCAAAACAGTTGTTACACAATGCTGCCCCCTTAATTACTACTGCCAAAAGAAAGCCAAGAAAGTGTGTGTAACTTCTAAAACAAAGTTAATTATTCTTTAACAAAACGGTAGCTGGGAGTTTATGATTTAGTAAAGCAAGTATGACCTCACTGTTCAACGGGAGGTTTTGTAACTCCTAGTTTATGGCGTAAGTCAAGGACATTCAGAGCTCCGGATGGGCATCCGTAGGTGGGGAGATCTTAGACCAAATAGCTAGTAGAAGAAACCTACACACATAAAAGAAGAATGTGACATATAACCTGGTAACTTTATGACTAGCAATAGAGTTCCAAATCTTTAAAATGTGCAGGTTTTATTAGAATACTTCAAAATAAATCTGCAAGGCAGTTCTGAGGCAAAAGTTTAATTTCTGCTCTTCATATCTCGGAAAAATCCGATCAGTGGATGTCAAAAGAAGGTTAATGAAAGATTTAGTCACGCTCACTACCATGCTAGTGTCAGTTTTGGAAGCTGTGCGTTAATGCACGAGATCTTCTGAGGTTACCTTCTTTGAAGTTCACTGATCCACAACCAATGTCCAATTAATTTGCAGTAGCCTACCTGCAATGACTATTGGCCTTTTCCTTCATATAAAAAAACACAGTAGGTAATATGATGACACTTTTTATTTTAAACAATGCTCTCCATACTACACATGAGTGAACACTCACCTTCAGGAATATATCACACTAATAACAGGCTTAATTTAAATGGTTTGAGCAAATATTTATATTTGTTTTATTTTCATGAGATGAGGAATTTAACACTTTCAGCCTCTTATGCTGCAAAGATTTGAATCTGACTCAAAATGCATGTTCACAAGAACAAACAGTTTAAGTTCTAACTGTACAAATTCTTCTTTATTCAATTTCCATGGAAGTCAAGCAATATGCAGAGGTTAGATTTGGGGAAGATTAAATGGATCTATAGATGTAGGAGGTTAAAAGGAAAAAAGCTAATATCAGTGCTCTTTCAATAACAAATTGGAAATTATCTTACATACAAAACCAGAAGAGTTGTGAAAATGTTCAAGACAACCAGAGACCCTGATCTGCACGTGCTTATATACAACAAGAACATACATATGTAAGTAGTCCACTTGGCTTCAAAGGCACTGCTTACATGAGAAAAGCAAGGTGGATTAATTTAAATTGAAGTGATTTAATCATGATTTAAATCATCAATTTTAATTTTGTTTTGCAGTTTTACTTTTCAGTTATTTTCCTAAAGAAAAGTTGATTTCTCATTGGTTGGTACCATTAAAACATTATTTTGCAGTGAAATATAGCCTTTTCCTCTAAATTTTTTTTTTAATTTTTGTTAATCAAGAGAATAATATATCTGTACTCATTTAAGTAATTCTATAGCTTAATTTAAAATTTATTCAGATTTTTACATTTTTATTATGTTAGAAAAACAGTGAATGATACTTTTTTATTTAGTAGATAATTAATTGTTATTTGTGTCAATTCTATTTGGATGGAAATTCAAATTCAATTGAAAATATACAAAAACATTTTTAAATGGTTGGGGGGGCTTATAAGTTAAATAAGAGTATCTTAAATGGGCTGGATACCTAACAACAAAATGGTTTATCAGAAAGTTTATCAAAATAGTTTTTTAAAACAAACTGATTTATTGAATGTAGGCAGTCTCATTGGTAGTTAGTGAATTGAACTGACTGTTTCTGGTCACCCTGTCCTTCAAGATTTTAGAACTAGTAGATCTCATCCTCTCATTCCTAGTTTTTATTCATAGATTGGAAGGGGAAAACAAGCTTTCCTGCTTTTTCACAACTCCCAACTGGTTTCTTATCTCAGAATGAACTACTCATTGAACTGAACTAGCTGAATAAACTAAAATGAAGAAAATAGTCTCTCTCCATTTGCAGAAGAGGCTACTGCTGTCAAAAGCTGATTTAGCACTTTAGCAAACACTGGTCTGTTAGGCAGTAGAGCTTAGCCAGTGACTTTCACCAGTTCAGTGGTTTGACTTTCTTTAAAGCTCGGCAGCAAACACATACTGCTTTATTTTAAAAAACATTAATTTAAATTATTTTAATGGATTATAATGAGTTAGGATGTTAGTATAGGTTGACAATTATAATTTTTTTTATTTTTCTTTAAATTGTATTTAATTTTAAAAAAATCCAGTTTTAATAAAAAAATCAAATTTTAAAAAATAAATTAAATAATTTTTTTATCCACTGCGGAGAAAAGTACTCAGGCACTTAAGTGTTTTCAGGACCAAGGTCTTAATATTTAAAAGGCCTCTCAAAACAATGGTTAGTACACTGTACCCTTGGAGGACTTTGGCTAGATGACCTGTTCTACAAGGATGGATTGGCAATTAAGATATCAAATTACTTTTAGCTTATGAGCTTTTTGGGAGGGTGGATCATGTCTACATATATATTTGTACAGACCCTTTGCACAATGGGTCCTCTGGACCTACAGTAATACATATATTGATGTTTTAAGTGCCCATTGATGGCAAGAATTTCCAAGAGGCACTTGACAATGAAAAATCTGTACCCGTAGTGACGGGCTGTTGGGTACAAAGTTTTACGAAAGATGACTATCCCGGTTAATTTTTTCGGAGATACACAACCTGTGTTTAATCCCATCTCATATTGCTCTGATCTAGTATGAAAGCCTCTGAACTTTATGAACCTCATTACACAGTGCCACTATTTCATGGTGTTTTAAAACAGTTTTAAAATAAGTATTCAACCAATACGTTCACGGTATTTTCCTTAAATTAGATCTGAGAAGTGCAGAACTGCTAAATACTCTTTTGTTACCATTCTAGAAGCGAGAGAACTGCACCTCAAACAAGTTATTTCCAATCTTAAAAGCTATTTATCACGTAAATAAAAAGATACTTAAATCTTAAAATTTTCTAATCTTCCCTTATAGCAGGTACCCAATTGGTCAGTCAAAATGCACTTCAAGAAATGTTCAAGGTTTTTATTAACTCCACAGGAAAGTTCCAGGATGTGGGATTTTGTTTTTCAGACTCTTGATTAAACCAGCAGGGAGTCACATGAATTCCCCCTTTTTTCAAAGTTTCACACTCAACATTCCCTCCTCAAAATCCGTACAAAAACAAGGATCAAAATGAAAATACTTCAGCATCTGCAATGGGCTGAGGCTTTGCAGAGGGAGGGATGAATTTCCAGCTGCCAGCCTCAAGGGACTGCTGAGTGAGATTAAATCCATAAATACCTTCTCCTAAGGCTGGGGCAGCTTTGATCAGGACACTTTTAGCTGCTTCATTTTATAACCTTCGCAAAGTGGCCAAATTTTAGCCTAAGATGTATTTTTAAAAGGTGATTTTATTTTAAAGAAATTAGAACACACTCTGGACATGTTACTGCACCTGGAGAACTCCCTGCTAAATTAAATATTTGGCATTTTAACTGAATTTACAAATCTGTGTTAGCTGGAAGGGCGTGGGAGGAGTGACAGGAAATAGAGTAACTTATTTATGAAAAACAATTATTTGGATGAAAGGAAAAGCCTTAAAGGGAAAATAAATAGCTAAATTTGGCAACTCCTACTTTTGGATGGCACTGGTAGAATCCACTGACAGGAAGCCTTTAAGACCAAATCAAAAATCACTTCCAAGGATTGCTATGCACCCCATTTGGTACAGAGGAATATGATGGCTACCATCGCTCAAGTGACAAAGAACTTGTAGTCACCAGCCACCGGTCACATTGAGTATTCCCTTCCATATTTACACAGCAAAGTCCTATTATGAGTAAGGCCCTACCAATTTCACGGTCATAGGATTTTAAAAATTGACGATTTCATGATTTCAGATACATAAATCTGAAATTTCAGTGTTGTAATTGTAGGGGTCCTGACCCAAAAAGGAGCTGTGGAAGGGGTTGCAAGGTTATTGTAGGAGGGTTGCGGTACTGCTACCCTTACTTCTGTGCTGCTGCTGACGGCAGCGGTGCCTTCAGAGCTGAGCAGCCGGAGAGCGACGGCTGCTGGCTGGGAGCCCAGTTCTGAAGGCAGCAGCAGCGCAGAAGTAAGGGTGGCATGGTATGGTATTGCCGCTGCTGCCTTCAGAGCTGGGCCCTTGGTCATCAGCCGCCACTCTCCAGCCGCCCAGCTCTGAAAGCAGCAGTGCAGAAGTCAGGGTGGCATGATATGGTATTGCATTGCCACCCTGACTTCTCCACTGGTGCTGGTAGGGCGCTGCCTTCAGAGCTGGGCGCCCAGCCAAAAGCCACTGCTCTCCGGCTGCCCAGCTCTGAAGGCAGTGCAGAAATAAGGGTGGCAATACTGCGCCCCCCCCTAAAATAACCTTGCAACTTCCCCTACAACTTCCTTTTGGGTCAGGACCCCCAATTTGAGAAACGCTGGTCTCCCCCATGAAATCTGTATAGTATCGGGTAAAAGCATATAAAAGACCAGATTTCACAGAGGGAGACCAGATTTCACCATCCATGATTTATTTTTTATGGCCATGAATTTGGTAGGGCCCTAATTATGAGTATATAAATCTACAATCCAACCACTAAATACTGACATTTCTCCCCTACAGGCCAAATGCGAACCTGGAAATGCAGCTCATTTGAATCATCCTTCAGTGCACATGAGAGGACCACCCATGGCCATGATTGATGCATTAGCCCTCCATCTTTCACCAGCCCTAGCTTCAAATCACACTCTCCATCAGCTCCTTAAGATGAGAAACACTTCAGATGTGATTAATAGAAATCATAGAGATAAACTGACAAGCGCAGTTCTCAGTTTCCACAGATATTTCAGACTGACTCTCCAAAAAAAAAAAAAAAAAAAAAAAGCCGAAACAGCTTTCATGGAATTTCTACAGACACAAGACACTAGAAATTTTGTTCTATCAGGCTAATGTACCTGAACTCTCTTCCCTCGCTATATCGCCTGGTTGATGTGGCACGTTGGGTGGCTGTCTCCAAAAGCAGCTTCTGAGTAAGCCTGCTGGATGGGGCTGAATCTCGGCTGGTTTCCTCTTCGATGTCTTGGTCACACTTCCACTCCTCATCCTCATTAAGAGTAGGCAAATATCCAGGCAGTCCTTTTCCTGTCCCAGATCCTGAGCTCTGATCACTATAAATTTTAGGACTTTCCCCACCTGTCCTTGTATATTCCAAATAAATATCTGACTTAAGGAACAAAGGATAGGTATTATCTTCGATCATGCACTGAATCTCAGTTTGGGCCTGGTCAAACATGTCAGGATCAATTTGCAGTTTCATGACACAATCTTTTATGAAGCTTTTTGTGGCTGGTTTGATTTGCCGGGATACTATCCCATTATTGTCCAGAATGTATTTTTTGTAAATAGCTTTAGCCAATTTGAGCCTCTTTTCCTCATTGGAGACACAGAGCTCTAACTTCCTGAAGCCACTGCAGGCAAACCAGAAGTCCAGCAAATCTGCACAGTCCTCCTGCTTCAGGAAAGTCCTGAACAGATTTATCCCATCTTGATCATCCAACAAGGAGTGCAACGACTCAGCCCATTTCAGGTAGGGTGGAGTTGGAGAAGCACTCCCCTCAGGTTCATACCCCAAATCCAGATCAGAGCGCCTCGGTGTTGCTGTAGAAGTCTCATTTTTAATCACGTCACTTTTACCAGAGTAGAAGCCGTGGCTGATTGGCCTTGGATCTGTAGAAACCAGCTCACCCTCCTCACCAGGGACCGGTGGCCTTGGAGCATCTTCGGTGAAGCTTCCTCCAAGATCCAAAGGGAAGCCTTTCCCCTGGATATTCATTTTTATGGTGCCTGCTTGCACAGGAACAATGAGGGAACAGGCTTAGTCTCAAAACACCAGTATCAGTAGTTCCAGAATGAATGCGTTTGTCCTGCTAAAACAAATGAGAACAACATTAAGAAATATTGCAGATAAAAATTCTAACACACAACTATTTTTTAGAATACTCCAGTATTTCTAAGCTTCCTAATACCGAGGTAGCTAAACAAACTTATGACCAACCCCAGAAGAGGATTTCTTAAATAGGGGATTTACTTAAATTTTTTAATGTGTATATTTGTATACCAGACTTAAGTCATAAAACATACAGTATTTTTACATAGCTAAACACCAGGTAAATTCACGTCTCCATAATAGTTTTGGAATTTCTTTCAGGGCATATGAAAATATTCTGAAAAAACTTCCAATTAGCATTAAAATCAAGAATATAACTTAATCAAGCATGGACAACTTTTAATACAATCAACTATCATTACACATTATGAAATTCCCCTCCAGTCCTGGAGACATTTTGACAGTGTCTTAGCACTTTTAACAGACAAGCATTTTGCGCATTCATTAGATTAAGTTAACAATATACTTCAGTGAAATTAAAATCATAATGTACAGATAATCATAATATAGTCATGCCTAGAATATTTTGCACTATTTCTCAATTACACTCCTGTAATAAATGAGCATAATGTAAAAATTGTGTGTATTGTGTACAGCACTACTAAATATATCATTATACTTCATGAAATGGAGGGTATTTACTGACACTTCATGTAAGCTAACAAACATCATTTGCTGCTGGCCCTGAGAACATTTCTAGTCACCACCTGATGATGAGAAACAATCAAACAATATTTTTTAAAGTAATTTGAATCAACAGGGTGCAGAAGGTATGTGTTTATGGAGGCAGGAGTAGAAGTGTACAAGATCTGGTATCTACTTTTGTAATAAATCAATACAATTTAAATTCTTTAAAGACACTAACAAAAGTTTTGTGTTACAAAATAATACTGGTGAACTCAAAAACCTGAATGCTGTAAAGCTGCAGCTGTCTTACAAATCTCTTCTTTACATGGACTAACTCAATTTCACATAAAAATATGCCAAGGAAAATAATTATGAAATAAAAGCCTCTCTCACAAAGCTCACCCCACACAAAGGAATACATCTTTCAGACAACTTTCCCACTTCTGTTGCTCCCAACTGAGCTGAAAAAATACAGCTAGAAGGTGCCCTTGCTGGCCTTCAAGACACCAAACAGTTTGTATGTCATCACAAAACAAAATAAGGTGGGAAACAAGCAGGTTAACTGATTTTAATTCCTAGATAACTGTGTGCTTCAACTGTTTTTTGTGATCATGAGACCAAGATATACTGTTACTCATTACACCTACTGGATCAAAACACAACATTCAGTTGCTATTCTGAGGTTTGCCTTAACACCTGTAATTTAGTGTATTCTTATTTCATACTATGCCCCGTTTACAGTATGTTTCTCGTCCCTCACTAGAACAATGAGGCCATGGAATTAATCTGATCTTCACAATAAAGATCCTAAAGTTCCCAGCACCTAAACATCCAACATAACGTTTCAACCTTTTCATTGAGTTGAACCCCACACTCCGAAACCGACACACGAGCCATTTTGCTCCAAGTTGCAAGCAAGGCTCCATTTCTCACGACCTAATAAGCCCTGAGCATTTCAACTCCGGGGAAAGCTTGAAGGCACTTCTGTAAATCACCATGCCTGGTGACTCTGGGCACAGCCCAGGTACATGGTGCGGAGACACATGCACTGTCTGAGGCCCCGATCCCGGCGGCTACGTGCTGTTCCGGCGCGGATCGAGGCCTTGGTGTCCAGACCCTGGATTTTCAGCCTATAATCCCTCCTAACTGTTCGGATAATGATCCTCCCCCGCGCTGCCCAGGGGCTCCCGAGTGGGCTGCTCGTTCACCCTGCTGCTGGCCAGTGTCCCGAGCTCTGAGGCTCTCGCAGCCCCGGGCCAGCCCGCCCGGCAGCTCCGGTAGCGCGCTGCGGCACTGACAGGAGCCATGGCTCCGCCTGAGCTAGCAGGACGCGGGGCCCGGGACCCTCGCGGGCCGAGCCGGCGCTCCGCGGGGAGCTTGGCTGCCCGCACCCGCCGGGGACCCCGACCCCCTCCTCCCGCCGGCCCGGCCGGAGCCCAGCGCCCGCGGACGGATCCCGCACGCCCGGCCCGCTCCTCTTCCAGCGCGGCGGCCTAGCGCCGGCTCGGAGCTGGCCCGTCCCGGCGGCCCCACAATGGGGCGGCCTCCCCGGCTCGGCCCCGCGGCCTCGGCGCAGCACGGCCGGGGCCTGGCTCCGGCCGCTCCCGCTCGCTCACCCGCTCGGAGCAGCCGCGGCGCGGGGCCCGGCCCATGCGGCTCAGCAGTGGCGGCGGCCAGAGGCCGCAGGCGGCGGCCGCGGGGAAGCAGCACAAGGCGGGCGGCCCGGGACCCCCATGGCCGCAGCCGCTCGGTCTGGCGGCGACACGGAGAGCAGCGAGCCCCGCACGGCTCAGCCTGCGCCGCGGCTCCAGCCCAGCCGCTGCCGGGAGAGACCGGCTCTGCCGCGCCCCCCGCGCCTCCACCCGGTACTGCGGGCAGCGCGCCGGGCCGGGAGAGCCCGAGCCAGGGGGCGCAGGAGGGCCCCGGCGGCGGGCTCCGCCGTGCTCGGGAGAGGAGAGAGCCAAACCTGGAGCCTCCAGAGCTGCTGACCATGCCCTCCGTGCAGGCCGGGCTGCACGCCTCCCTCCCCTTTCCCACTGCAGGGAACGAAGCCGTTTCCAAATTTGGCAGCAGTGCTCTGCAGAAGCCAGCTCAGTTTCCCCGGTCATTTTAAAAAGAGGATATTTACCAACTTTGCAAGACAAAGGCATACAGCTGCTGCTTTCTGAACCGTGGTCCTGGACAGGCTAACCTTTGGGGGTTCTTCTAAACAAACACCCGCACTCTGCTAACATCGCTGCCACAAGCCACTTTAAAAATTAAATACAAAGAGCTTATCCCCTTATTCATTGTAACCTCATCAGTCTCCAATAATAAAAGCCATCAGAACTCTCAGCTCCATCATTATCTTCCCATTTGCCATGCTACAGAGACAGTTACCTTTGCAGCAGCTGCAAACTCCCTGTTTCTAATAAGGAACTGCCTCCAAGTCCAACTCTTTTCTCCCACCTCCAATCCTAGGCCCTATGAGTAAGAAGGGACCAGGAAATGGGGGAAAGTGAAGGTCACATCATCAGAGGCCCAACTCTGTACCTTTGCTGCACCTTTGGGGTTTGCCAGATGAAAGCCCTTGTCTACAGGGCCAGATTAAGGCACAAAAGGCCAGTGCCTAGGGCTTTAGCTCCTGGAGTCATGTGATTACATCAGAATCTCAGTTTTCATAAACACAAAAAGTTAACTTCTAGCCTTCCTGGTTGGGTAGAATAGTTTGTAAACAGGACACAAGAGTAACTGATGTCTGTTACCTGCCTGAGTTTGCTGAGAGCCTGACCTAGTAGCTCTGATGAGGAGGAGGAACTGCTCTATACACCATGTTATCTCTGAGACACGCTGCTCTGAGGAGCTTGGCCCACCCACCTCAGGTGCTGGGACCAGAACAGGGGAATCACTGCTGCCACCTCTGCTGCTCCCAAAGGCAAGGGGAACCTGCTGCTGCTTCTAGGCAGGGAGAAGTGGGCCCCATACTGCTGCCTCTCTGGGGGCAGAACTAGGGGACCCCTGTCATTGCCACTGGAAGTGGGAGACAGGGCCACAGGGGCCTGATGTGGTGCCATTCCTAAAGGCCCAGATTGCTTTCATCCTGCCCAGCCCTTCTGGGGGACCTGAGTAGAGTGACCACCTTTGCTGGATGGAAATAAGGGAAAACCATGTGAAAAATAAGGAACAATGCTTTATTTTAAGGGACATTTTAGGAAAACAGCATTTCCATGAGCATATGTATTTTTCTCTCATGTACATTTCTACTGCCTTCAAGCATACCATGCAATTAGTGTAAGCTTCAATGTTGTGTAAAATGGTACTTATCAGTTTTAGTACATTTCAGTACATGTTAAAATAAAGGACCCAAGGAAGTCTGTTGGGCTGAGACTCGGCCGTCGGGCTTCACAAATGAGAGAGAAAGAGGCTGGGGGTTTGGACAGAGTGGATAGTGGGAGAGATCCTTATCCTCATAGCAGAGCCAGTTCTATGGCCCCAGGGGACAGCCTGGCTCCTGATTCCATCAGCTCTAATCCCAACCACAATGGTTTTTCCTTTTCCTTTTTCCCCCCTTTTATTTTTATGATTGTTCCTTCAACCTAAACTATCATAAAACTCAAAAAAACCAAAACAACATAATCAATATGTTTAGGAGCCTGCGGAAAGACCATGGAACAGGGGTGCCAGCTACCCACTGGGACTGGGGGGCTGGAATCTTCCAGGAAGATGGGAACTAGTTGGTGACAGGGGCCCGGCTGTCATCCAAGAGCACCACTACTCAGCCAGGCTCTCTAGCCCTGCCCTGCTGCCAATCTGTGTTATCCATGCCCCCCTTAAGGAGTGTTGCTGTGCCAGTGAACAGGAGGGGAAGCTGGCCTGTAAGGAGGCATGGGAGGCACCAGAGCCCTGCAGGAGCTAGCACACGCAGTAATGTGAATTACTACCACCACTGATGCCTAAAGAGTGATATTAATAAGCGAAATCAATTGTTCAGCCCTTTCGCAATCCAACGCTAGAAACACCCCTCTCTCCATAATGACCACAACAAAGGTAGGGCAAGACATGCAACATGCCTTCCCTCCACCACCACCATGACCTGCCTTATCAAGCTGCTGCTCCCAAGTGGGTCAAAATTCTCATACAGCACCTTAGCACTCAGCCCCAGTGCAGAACCCTGCTCAACATGCTGGGAACACAGGTGGAAATGAAGCAACCAGTAGCTGTGACTGGCCCAGAGAGCAGGTGGGTTCTGTTCCCCTACTGAAAGGGGTGCAAGTGACTCGGCTGAAATGCTAGCTTGATTGGGTGACTCAAATCCCAAGGGCAGGGGTGTAAAATAGTCTGTCCTTTTTCTCCCGTTTATTC